TGATACTCGCTAGCGGATACCGCGCTCCAGTTAAACGGCGTAAGTGTGCATTGGGGGACCGTGAGACATGCGCAGTGAATGCAACTACGCTAGCTAGAGTCCGGTTCCAGTGCGGATCCAAGACTTAAGGACTGCTGTAGAATGCCTAAAGCAATGAGATAACCAAAAATGGTTACAATCTTTGTGAAAATTCTTTGTTGGCTAGATCTTTTCCCGCTCAGATTAGCGAGTCGAATCCTTTCCAAACGAAATTCGAGTATGTGAAAGGGAACTTCCCGCCAAAACTGTCCAATGCGTGGCGCAAACTCTAATAAATGAAAGAGAAAGTTCTTGATAATTTACTGACATGTAGTTGCCCCGAACAGAAAATGCATCTTTACCAGCGATTTTGATGCTGACCAAGACTGCAAGATCACAAGCATGACTGCCCAGACCTGAATCTGATTTTCAGTGTCATCAAGCGCTTCAAGCGCATCTTCGAAGTCGAAGACGGTTCTCGATACAAACTCAGGTAATTTTTCATAATCATTAAATATGACTTTAGATTGCTGACTTTGACTGAGGCGAAATTGATAAATTCTGCAGAGCTTTGTTTTACAAAACAGTTTTGCCAATGTAATTTCAGAAGCTTCTTAAGTCTAACGCATATATAGGAACTAGATTATTCATTGCGGATTAGGCTGTTTCATTTCAGCCAGCAGTACCTCATCGTCTGCACTATCGAAATCTTCGGTAAAGGATGAAGATCATGGTCAGTACGCTCCAAGAGTGAGAGAACTCACTGAAGAGATAAAGAAGGCAGCTGGTAAGCTTAACAAAGAAAAAAATATCCCAAATCTGTGCGAATTTTCAATTTCAGAACTGAAGCAATTCAACACACAGCGTATGGTTGATGCTATCAATGAGGTGAAGAAACTCGAAGTGGAGCTGGACAGAGCAGGACAAAATCTCAGCCAGGTCCAGCAAAAATTCAACGACCATGAAGCCATTGTTGCTGTTAGTTTTTGCTTGACATTTTTTTCTTTTAGCTTGAAAGTTATCAAATTTTAGGAGTTGCGCCTTCGAGCCAAGAAAGTCCATGAGCAGCTGTTGATCGCTCGTGAAGCGGACAAGAGGCGCAATGCTGTATGAATTTGCATGATACGAAAATATGGTTACATGAATTCGTGATACTGGTTGAATGGTATTCGGAATGAAGATTGTTGGATTAATCGTTTAGACAAATGGAAGCTTCGTAGAACGACACATCAAAATTTACAGCCTCTTAATTGGTCGCTGCGAAATCAGAACATGAGCTGTTTATCTCTTATCGTTTTGTCGAAACCCGTCTTTACTAACCAAATTTTGCCCGTAGTAGTCCGTAATAATTGTATCTCGAAAGTTTTAAGAAACCAAAACCAAGTAAGACTCTTCTAATACCACAGTCCAGTCCTTCCTGAAGACCTGAACTTATTCAAATCTATCTCACAACCTGCTCGTGTCTAGTTTGACTTTCCTCCTTAAAAAAGTGGCTGAAAACGTTTTTCAGTAGTTGTCACAGGACAAGGAAAAGCAATTTCTAGGGTCGTTCTCGAATTCATTCGTCTTGTCATAGTAAGAGCCGTTCAGTAATTAGATATAGCTTATGGGTACAAGACGCCCTGTTTCTTTTTCAAACTCGACCAGCCCTAATCCACCAAAAATTTCGAGGCCAGAGTACCCTCTATGCTGCTCCTAACCGAGTAGA